TGAAGCACTGAACGGCCGTTTCGGTTAAGTGCTCTGGAGCGAGACTGGTCGGTCCTGGATTCGAATCTTGCGGGGCGAGATCATGGATGCTCACTGCCACCGAGGAGTCCCGAAATAGGACGAAATGGTCATCCAGTGCTTCGAGGTTTTCCATGATGGTCTATCTTCAATTAACTCTCCATCTCAACTATATAAAATTACTAAAATTACTCTACAAAACCCCCTTCTAACAACAAAAATTTGTTTACAATGTTTAAAATGTAAACTTTTGAATAATTTATTCATATTACTTGCCTTGATACTTATTATTGTTATAGTCAATGTACACACTAGTCAAGTAATAATAGAAAAATAAATTTGACCTTAAATACAAGAACAAAAAGTAATTAATAATTCAAATGGACTTTTATGATTATTTAACTAAACGTAATAAGAAATCAAGAATGTTATAAACTTTCTTCGTCATATCATCATTTTTATACTATTATAAAAGTTTTGATTCTTCATTCTATTGTATCATTTAATTCAAGGATTATTAATTCATTAAATTATTTATGAATTAATTTTTATTTACATTTTATATAGTTGAGATCATGAGTCTATTGAAACTAGACTATCATGGAGAACGTGGAAGCACTGGACGGTCGTTTCGTTCTATTGTTGGACTCCTCAGCAGTGTGCGTCCAAGATCCCACCTCATGAGATTCAAACCCAGAACCTATCAGGTTTTCCATGGTGGTCTAGCTTCAATTAACTCATGATCTCAACAATTTAAAATTACTAAGATCTCCACAAAACTTCCTTCTGATTATTTATATTTAAAAGAATATGTTTTTAGTGTAGTTTTATTACTTCAGATTACATAATAATTTGTTAAAACTACAATTCCAGCGGCTTCAGGGTAGCCGTAATATCACATTAAAATAGTAGTTTAAATTTAGTCAGTTTGAAATTCTCAAAAGTCGTATTTTTCTTTGAAATCCACTAATTTTGTACTATTGAAATGATTTATCGTTAAGTATTTTCTCTAAAGTATTTAAAATTGGTCCCTGTAGTCCTAAATTAGATCGAGTTTCTAGTGATATTGTCGTGTACAAAAAACGAGCTAGGGACAATCGAATGTATTTGGACACAAATTACAGACTATCTCACTAAATCCTGATAACTATACAACAAACAGTTGACTTGCAAAATAACAAATGGTTGTCTTAATCTTCATTGTTCCTTCTGTAAATATCAGTCTATCTTCTCTAATTTCATTGTTTATTCATTTTCCTACCAATTGCGCTACATTTCAGTTCTTTCGCCATCGGTCTTCTGTCAAAATGCATTCTATGTCTGATTATCGCAATATACTACTTATATGGATATAAGTAGACCACACTACAATATCATACTTTATATACAGAAACAAGGTTCGATTATATGCGTTGTTTTAGTGATAAATTTCAAGGTTCAAATATATTGAAAAGATCAAGAACAATGATTCTTTCTTCTTACTCTTTTCAAAATGATAAAGGGAACTATGTGTATGAAAGTTCGAATATACATTTATCATTTTTCTTTTCAAACCATATTCTACAAAAATTCACTTAGTATTGTTTGTTTGAATCTTCCCATTGATATTTAGGACTGCAATTGGTCAGTCTCTAATTGGCATATTTGCATACCGTGCATATTGTCTCAATATAGCTTTATTGCACAAGCCTTATAAGCAAAGATGGATAGTGGCTAGCAGTGGAATCCTGTTTGATGTGCGTTTCGTCCTACTCGGGACTCGTCAGCTGGAAGTACCTGCATCTACATATGTATAGTTTTATTTTAAAAATCATAGATATTATCATTACTTCGATTTCTTTGGCATAGTTTTTGTTCATTTCATCCTACTGTTTCAATGTTCTATGGTAGATTATACCCATGCATAAAATTAACACATTTTATTTTATTGCGATTAATCAACTGTTCAATCTAATGCATTCATACTTGCTTAGATTTTAGATATCATTACCAAGTTTTGATTTGATAATTTTGAATAAATTGAGCATTGAGTAGATTGTTATAAATAAATTAATATATATGTAATATTCCAATGAGTAGAAAAATTAGATTTTCTGACGTTTCGTGACTCAGTATAGTCCACTTCTTCAGAGAATAAATAATCAAATTAACAATAATCTAAGTTTAAATAGTACTACTATTGTACTATTACATATTGTTTAGTATCGTTATAGAGACCTCAGATAATTAGTAGTAGTTTTTAAAGGAATCATTGTCATGTCAGATAAGGAACTAAATGATTTTCATTTTAATATGGATATCATAAACCATTTGGTTAAATTTACATTTGATAGTTACTGTTAACTTTCTACCTTAAAGAACATAACAAGGTTAATGTATTCATCTATGTACTTTAGTAGGTATATAACTCAAATGATTCATTTCTGTACATTTATACATTTAAATGTATAGATGCAATGTAAAACAATCTTATAATCTTTTTTGATGGTCAACAGTATCAAGAAAAGATATTGAAATATCATACAATTTATTTGATAAATTTACTTAGTATTGTTTGTTTTTGAATCTTTCCTTCGATGTGTTAGGACTGCAACTGGTCAGTCTCTTATTGGCATATGTGCAAATTGTGGGTATTGCTTCGATATAGCCTAAATTCACAAACATGGTAAGCAAAGATGGATAGACCATAGGCTATATCGAGGCAATAAGCACAGTATGCATATATGCCAATTAGAGACTGACCAGTTTCAGTCCTAAACATCAATCGGAAGACAAAAACAAACAATACTAAGTGAATTCAAACTTCACCCCATTGCACAAGCAAGTGCCTATCAGGACTCAGTGGCCGAGTGGACAACGCAATGGAGTTTGAAGCGAAAGGTACTGGGTTCGAGTGCCAAAGTGAACATCAACTCTGACATTCAGGCACATCTAGTCGACGAGTCCCGGATAAGACGAAACGCGCGTCCTGAATCCCACTGCTATCCACTAATCATCTTCGCTTACCAATCTATTTGATAATTTAAGAATGATAGCCGGATTTCACAGTAAAGTCAACTGATCTTCTATCTGCTTAAGTTGCACTTATTATGTCTTATTAAACATTGTACTTACTTAAGACAGTACTCAAAGAGTATTGTAGTCAAAAAGTACTTTTAAAAGTATAACAAAAACAAGTCACTGCAGACTTAATCTTTTTCAGCTTATGATTCATTGATCAGAATTGACCACAAATTAAATTCTATGTATTCTGCATTGGAGCGTCATTTAATTAAAGTTTGTATGTTGATATTAAAATGTGTTGATAGTAGGTAAAATATGTCGTAAACCAAATAAACATCTCTCAATTTGACCCTTTTAAATAATCGATATGAGTGCGAAATTATATTTGCTTGAAGGAAGTTATGATGGTTAGAATGCTGGTAGTAACATATAAATATATTTACGGAACAATTCCTTTTTCAATTGCGTTGTTATAATACTATATTTTATAAAAAAAGTTTATAATGATTCAATTTTGAATCGATTCCAGAATACTTTTAAAAGATATATTATAAACTATATTTATTATTGAAATACTAATTAAACCAGACTGTAAGATGATGGTTGGAGGTGGTCAACAAGAAACCCTGAATCCGGGTTTCGTGCTATTTTGCACTCGTCAGCAAGGTGCACCTGTCATCTTGAGGGAACTGGTGCTCCCTGACGGATTTGATCCCGTGTCACTCAGCTTCACAGTCAGAGACGTCACCACTGAGCTATTCGGGCCACGATCAACCTTCTGTAGGACTTGATCGATAGCATTTGGTCAGCACTAAGAAAAACTTGACACTCATGACATTGATCACCACCCAGTGATCAGTCAATTGTAAACCATACTGTTTATGGTTATAAAATAATAAAGAAGGCATTTGTTATTTATATTCTCTACCAGAAATGTAATTAAAAGTAAATTGTTATCCTCTATACACTCCTGCATGTTTGGAATCAAACCAGTCTAGTGATCTTTAAAAAGAAATACTTATTTGTCATTGGTATGTGATCGAGAATACTTTAATGGAAGTACGGGCAGAATTTTATTGCTAATGATACTAAAACTTTAGTTGGGTAATTTCTTGATATTAGTATAAGTGATTTATGGAGATTGTAACATTTTTACAGTTTAACTTACGAATTGGTCTTACCGTTAGGTGGCGAAATCGGAGATCCTGGATTTGATTCCTGCATGCAGGGTCTTGGATACGCACTGCTGAGGACTTCCATATCAGGACGAAACGGTCGTACAGTGCCTGCAAGCTAGTGGTCTAACTTAGATTAGTTTGTGATTTAAATTGTGAAAATTTCTTAGTAGTCAGGATAACTTTTATCATGTGTTCATATCATTTGAAGAATTGTTGTGAAACAGGTGGGATTGGGAAGCTGTTTCGTACCATTTTAAGACTTTTCGACGATACATATCTATAACTTTCAATGAACTTCAACCGAAGACGTTTGGGTCGTAATAAATTTCACAAAGCCTTTGTCGAAAACTGTAACTCACAGGGTCAATTCACAGAGCATTATGAGATTTATCCTAAGGTTACATTGTATTACATGAGGTAGGTCATTTTATCTACTGACTGCAGCTAACGAATGTGTACCACCGAATACCAACACATGTCCCATGAAGTATCGTAAAAGTCATTGCTTCAATGCCATGTATGTCCAATGATGCACACTATTGAATTGGAGAGTCTACCTAGTACTTTCTACTTCCTAACGGTTCTCCAGTTGATATCAACGTGTGACAGAATCAATCATTTGCTTTATATCTGAATCATTTGACTGAGAATGTGGTGGATTCTGATATCTCAACTCATTCAGACTGATATATAAATTAGATAGGCTGATTTAAAAAAAACTTGGATTGTATGAATATTGATTCTTTTTGTGATAACTTGATAGTTTGTCCTTCGGACTTTTTTTTAATCTTAACTTTTCAGATTATCTGATGAATTTCTATCAATAAAATTAAAACGATCCAACTATGAAAGATTCCAATGATAAAGTTACTAAAATTTCATTATCAAAATCCAAAGAATTCTTTATACATTATCAACTATTGATGTGGAAAAATTTCTTACTACGTAAAAGACGCCCTGGATTTCTCTTAGCTGAAATCTTAGTCCCTTTAATGATCCCAATTATATTAGTTGGAATACGAACTGAATCACCTCCAGTAAATGAGAATACATGCCATGTTCGTTCAATAAATCTTCCAACAATGGGTTTATTCAGTTATTTACAATCAATTGTTTGTAATTTCCTTTATCGTTGTCATTCAATAGATCCTGATAGTACTTCTCAACAGTTTAATTATACTGTATTTGGTAATTTACTTGAGAATATTTCTAGTATTGTTGGAGATCTGTTGACTGAAAATGTGTAAGTATTAATTGATTAAAATATTTCATTTGCCGTCTTTTTAACTATATATAAGGATGATGTGTTCACAGTCATAAAATCTTCGGATAGTGTAATAAAATAACTACTATCATTTAAAAATGGATAGCATTTTTACTGCTTATTTAAGGATATTCGATAAACTACTTACTTATCCAAAAATTAATGTATTGATGAAAGCCAAAAGAAATCAAAGAGGGATAAAGTATAATGTCGAATGAAATATCAGTTCACACATTTCTACGACTGTTGACGAAATGAAGGACTATTAGATTCACGTTCAAAATGAAGACAACTTACTTTCGAACACTTGGAATACATTCAGGGTGTCTGTTGACTTGGGCTTTATCTAAAGGAATCAACTCTCTATCATACATAACAAACATAATTTGTTTATACACAATAGAAAAATGTCATTGCGAATGAATGAACTAAATTATTTTGACTAATGTCTACTTTATTAATTCGCGATATTAATTTATCCGTCAACACAAATGGGACTATCATGGTCCATCATACAAACAACGAATAATGAAGCTATAAGGAATAGTTTCTGTTATGAGTTCACGTTTCTTGCAAATAATCGTTTTATTCTTTGTTAATTATTAAAATTATTATCAAAGAAATTATTGCCTATATGGAATTGCGGTGCGTGCTACTTATATCCATATAAGTAGTATATAGTGATGGTCAAAAATAGAATGTATTTTGGCAGAAGACCGATGGCAAAAGAATTGAAATGAAGCTCAATTAATAGGAAAATGCATAAACAATGAAATTAGAGAAGATGAACTGTTATTTGCAGAAGGAACAATGAAGATTAAGACAATTGTTTGTTATTTTGCAAATTAACTGTTTACTGCTGTATGATTATCAGGATTTAGTGAGATAGTCTGTAATTTGTGCTTGAATACATTCGATTGGCCCCATTGGATTAATTAGTAACATTTAGATACTCAATATATATTAATACCGTAAAATACTTTATTGAAGGTATGAAATTAGTGAACTCTTAAAAATCTGTCATTCAATAATTAAATTGTCATGTTAAAGAAAGCTTTGATCATCCGTCATTCAATAGTTAAATTATCATGTTAAAGAAAGCTTTGATCATCCGTCATTCAATAGTTAAATTATCATGTTAAAGAAAGCTTTGATCTTCATACATACTAGTTTTGACAGTTTGATTGATATTACTAGGCATTGGACTAATCTAGGTCAAAGCTCTTTATTTTTGAATAGTTTAAACTGTATATGTATTTTTTTCTTCATTTCAAGCTAAGCAGTAGGTATATACTAAATACAATGTATGATGTATGATGTTTAAAAAAAACATTGAAATGAGTATTTGATAAGAAAGCTGGTCACGTTAAATGAATCTTACTCTTAAGTTGAAATAATCTTTCTATCATGCAACGAAATTAACACTGACGTTCAAGATTATATTAGCAGTTCTATTATAATTATACTTTTGACACTGAGTGATTTGATATGATTATTTTATCAATTATGATAATCATTGACAATCATATCAATTAGTTTAAATCCCTAATCATAACTGAGAGGAAATATTAAGTTGTTAAGTTGATTAGTTTATCATCGACATTGAAAATTTTTGCATTATCATTGTTCACTGTTAAATACCTCACAGTCAATGAAGTGGATGTATAGTGACAAGTCCCATTAAATTGATCGTTCAACGATAATCCGTGGTGTCACAATTTGGTCTTTGCACGACCGATCCTTACGGAAGCTGGCCTGCTTATCTCGAAGTTGGGTGTCTACTGAGTCTTTCATTCGTTTCAGCAACACTCTGTTAAAAACGTTTCCTGCTACTGATAGTAATGTAATGCCTCTGTATTTTTCACATTTACTGAGATATCCTTTCTTCGGTATCTTGATGAGGTATCTTTCTTTCTAGGGGATCAACACTTGTTCTTTCTCCCAAATGTTCCTGAATAAGACGTAAAGCATGTTTGCAGTTGCTTCTCCCTCTGACTTCAGAGCATCAGCCGGTTTATTGTATCGGGTATTTCTACTTTCCTGCTCTTGATTTGTCTGATGACCGTTCTGATTTCTTCCGTCGCTAGTGGATTGACGCCCACAAGAAAGTCTGTAGGTGTTGCTTCAATATCTGGCTGGCCTATTCAATGGTTCGTTGAAGTATTCTACCCATCTGTTCCTCCGCTCTTGAATGTCAACGATTGTCTTGCTTTGTAGTGCAATGCTTCGCCAATCTTTCACCTCGATAACCGTTATAATACAAACCCTAACGGTGCATGAAATCAGAAGGTAAAGGGAAGCTACAACTACAGTTTATTATCCAATGACGCAGGTCAGAAAGTTATAAGCACATGAGCAAATATCAGCCAGTGAAGCAAAATTGACATGCATTGGAGATGGCGGGTAAGCCAACTCACTTTAATCAGGCGTCAATCAATATTTATAGTCAGACAAGAATAAATGACAGACATATGATAAATAGGATAAGAAGGGTGCGCACCCACGTTCATATGAAAATGGTCAGGGTTAATAAGTGAATAATTAACAAGGTGAAAACATGACTCATGATGTGTAGGTAAGTTGGCTTGTCCTGGAGCTATAATAAGGTATATGGGCTTAACATATCAACCGACACTATACCTTCTTTCTACTTGATCACTCTCCCTGGTTTAGTATATTTCCCTGCTACTTTCTTCGTTGTGTCATGGAGCTGTCACACATTTCCTTCTCTTGCAGCATTTTCTGCTGTCGTTGCTAGCTCTTTCACATGTTTCTGCCTGTCGACACTGATGCTCTTCTTCACTTTCTTGTTTGCTTCAGTATATTCAGCTTGTGCCCTGACCTTCACTGTTCTTATTTGGCTGTTGTTGATTGTTGTCTTTTCGTTCTTTCTTCCTTCAATCTTGTCCAGGGTTTTGATAGAGATCCATTCCTTATGATGATGCTCGTTGCGGCTCAGCATCTTCTGACACTTTGAAGTTGGTGCTTCTTTGATTCCTTTCCAGTAGTCCTTCATCTAAGTTTTTTCTTCCTTCAGTAGTTCTTGTGAAGCTTGGAGCCTGTAGCTGAGGGTTATCTTAAATTCGATGTGTTTGTCATTATTCCGAAAGAAGGTTGTACTGAACTTTCTTAATGCTATTTGTCCAGTTGTCCAATCCTTCCTTAGCTTTAGTTTCATCTTGGCAGCCATAATGTTGTAATCTGAAGCTATGTCAGCTACTTACATCTTCCACCAATCCTGTGAACTTTCTACTGAAGCAAATATGATCTTTCCGGTTCTCCGTGGTTTGGTCTAGTGAGATCCACGTATCTTTGCATTTTGTGCTTCTCTGGACAGTATTAGAGCATTCTTCTCTTCGTGACCGGAGAAGAGGAGCATTTCTCCAGTATCTAGACTTTCTGTTCATCTTGAGTCCAATGGGTTTCGCTAATTCCAAGTACTGTAAAATTGTATCTCCTCATTTTCGTTGCTATTTGACTGGTCCTTCCGGTCTTCCACATTGTCCGGACGTTCCATGTACCCATAAAAATTGTTGCTCTTGTTGTTAAACATCTAATAATTAAAAATATGAATAATGTATTATCTGATTATCAGCATTCTGATGAATAAAGATAGTTGAACAGCCCTCCAATTATGTAATCGTAACAGAAACAAAGAAGCTATTTAGGCAAACCTAATTATTATGTTAGTATAGAGTTGTGAAGATCACTGAGTTTTAATTAAGATCATTAACCAACCAATGTTAGAACAACATTGAAAACGTGAAGGCATTGAGCAGCCGTTTTGCCCTAATATGAGACTCCCCATCAGTGCACAACCATTGAAGGTCCTGGTTTCGAGTTCTGCATGCAAGGACGAAACTCCCATCAATCACTTCCAAGTTCTTAATAGTTGCCTAACAATGATCAGTTCATGATCTTATCTAACTATTATCACATTATCAATGTTAGGAATTTATTTATAAACATCCAATTATTATTTTTTTCATCTTTTTTTTGATAGAACAAAAGATTTTCAACATTTCAATATCCCAAATTTTATACAATTTCTTAATAATTCCAATAATCAATTATTTCAACGAATCAAATTTGTTTTATTCAATATTCAACAAATTTACCAAGATATTTTTAATGAATTAACGAATGAAAATGAATCCCCCAATGATTATAATGAACATTTCAATGATATTCATTATAATAATAAAACAATCAATTTTGGTATATTTAATATAACAATTAAACAAATACATTGGTTATCAATTTTATCTAAATTTATATGTGGTACAAAAACTGCTAATTTAAATGATTTAGGTAAATTAATGGAATTTTTAAAAGATATTGATTTTACAAATCTTATTGATATAGAAAAAAAATTAAAACGAATACATCGTGATACATCATCACCCCTTCTATCAACAATCAATCATATGGATACCATAGAAACTAATTATAAAATTAATTGTATTACATTAGATCAATTATTACGTAATAGTTTATTAGTACGGTATACAGGACGTTTAAGATTTTTATTAAATGGTTATATTTTTTATTATCCTGTTAATCAATGGACAAATGAAATAATGTACCGGGTAATGGAACCACAAAGATTATTAATTTTATTAAAAAATATATTAAAACAATATCAATTACAAACAAAACCAATTTTAAATCAGTTACTATCTAATACAACTATATTAAAACAAATAAGAAGTATGTTAAAAACTTGTATAATACATTCGAATGGTATCCTCCATGGACTGATTCAAAAGTTTTGTTTAAATACATTAATTTGGTTAAATCCTGAAAGAACAAATCATTTCAATGAAACTAATGATTTATTGAATCAACCAATGATATTTCATCGTATTAATATAATGATTGATATTATTATACAATTATTAGATTGTTTCCCCTTAGCAACACATATTTATGGGGTAAATAATCAATCTATGTTTAATGTATATATGAATTTATTTAAATCACAAGTACATCCAATTGTTCAAGGTATTCTATTTAATAATACAATATTCTCATTAAATAATAATGATAATCATTATCAATTGAATAGTATACAAAATACATCAACTATTATAACAATACGTCAAAATCCTTATATTATAGATGATACAAATAATTATAAAGTATTAGATCATACATGGAATCCTAAACCACGTAATAATGTTAATGATGGTGATACAAAATATTTATCTAGTGGTTTTTTAGATATACAAGATTTAATTAGTAATGCTATTATTGAAATATCTAATAATATACCAGAAAGAATAAAACAATTAAATAATTCATGGAATTCATGGACTGGATCATATTTGACATCTTCGTCTCCTTCAACATCTTCTTCAACTTTAAATCATTTATTAATTGGTAAACAAATGAAATTTTTTCCAACTAAATGTTATAAAAAAGATGAATTTTTAATTAAAATTAATAAATTATTACCACAATTATTATTATTAACATGGATATTAAATGCAATGTTAATAACAAAATATATTGTAGAAGAAAAAGAGAATTATATAAAAGAATTTACAAAAATTATTGGTTTTACAAATACTACTTATTGGTTAAGTTGGTTTAGTAGTATATTTATAATTGTTTTACCAATTACTATAATTATTACATTAATATTAAAATATGGTAATATTTTTATTATAAGTAGTATATTTATTATATTTTTTTTATTAATTTCATATATTATTTCAATTATAATGTTTTGTTTTTTATGTTCAATATTTTTTCATAAATCTAATTTAAGTGCTATAGTAACTGGATTATTTTATTTTATTATTTATATACCAATACCATTAATATTAATAAATGAAAAATGGATTAAAAAAGAAATTATTTATATAACATCATTATCAAATCAAGTAGCATTTAGTTTAGGTTTATATTCATTATTAAGATTAGAAACACAAAATTTGGATACACAATGGAATGAGCTATGGCAACCAAAATTAAGTGATTCATTATATTCACCAGGTAAAAGTATACTCATGTTATGGATTGATTCTATATTATATCTATGTATGACATTATTGATTGAATGGATTATATCAAAGAAATATAATATATATCAATCAATTTATTCAAGAATTAAATGCCAAAATTGGAAAATATTCAATAAACATAAAGATCAACCTATAGACTGTATAAAGAATGTTATCTATAAAGAAGATGATGGAAATGTTCAATTATGTATAGAATCAAATCATGAATGTTTACCAATTAGTATATCTGTAAAAAATTTAAGTAAAATATACAATAAAAAAAGTAAACCAGCATTAGATCATTTAAATATTGATTTTTATACAAATCAAATTACATCACTTTTAGGTCATAATGGATCAGGGAAATCAACATTAATATCTATTTTAACAGGTATACATAAACCATCTAATGGTTTAGCTATAATTTGTGGTTATAATATACATCAACAAATAAATCAAATACGTACAAATCTAGGTTATTGTCCACAACATAATATTCTATTTGAATATTTAACTGTTATTGAACATATTAAATTTTATGCTAAATTAAAAGGTTTTAATAAAGAACAAATTAACAGGGAAGTAGAATATTTTAGTAATTTATTAAATTTAACTAATAAATTAAATGATCAAGTGAAAACCTTATCTGGTGGACAAAAACGTAAATTATCTATAGCTATAGCATTTGTCGGTCAAGCTTCAGTGATTTTATTAGATGAACCAACAACTGGTGTTGATCCATATTCACGTAGATCAATATGGGATTTAATATTAAAAATGAAATTAAATAAAACTATTATTATAACAACACATCATATGGATGAAGCAGATATATTAGGAGATCGTATAGCTATTATAACACAAGGTAAATTAAAATGTTATGGTTCTAGTTTATTTTTAAAATCAACATATGGACAAGGATATTATTTAATATTAGAACGTCAAAATCAATTATTCGATGAAGATTCCACCGAAAGTTGTCATAGTGATACATTAACCAATGAAGATTTGAATGATATCATTCATTATCTGAAACAATACATTAAAGATATCAGTTTAATTAATTATAATCAAAATGAAATAATTTATCGTATACCAATACAAAATATTATTGATGGTTCATTAAGTCAATTATTTAAACAATTTGAAAATCCATTATCCCCTAATGATCAAATTATATTACCTATTGAATTGACATCCCATGGGATAATTAGTTGTGGATTAACTGATACTTCATTAGAAGAAATATTTCTTAATATAGCTGATGATCCTGCAATGTTATTACAAGATTCAAGTTATCATTTGGGTGATATGACAACAGCAACTGATAATAAGAATGATAATCAATATGAAACTGATGTAAATAAAAACGATACATCAATAAATCAAATACAACAACAACACGGACAACAAACGTTTACTAATACTGGATTACGTCAATCACAAATGAACAGTTTAAGACAAAGTTCTCATTTATCCCAATTAACAAATAGAGGCCGAATTTCAGCTCCACTAACATTACCTAATCGTTTTCATCATAAACATTATCATTATAATAAAACAAATAAAACAAACAAATCCAATGATACCATAAACATTCATCCAATATCCAATATGAATATACCATTGAATCAATCTAATACAAGACAACAAATCAAAGCAATGTTTATTAAACGTTTTCATTATTTTAAACGATCTAAATTAAGTTTATTTATTGAATTTATTTTACCTATATGTGTATTAATTTTAGTTTTAAAATCATCACAATTTTTTAAAAAATCTTCTTTAAATCAACCAATGATTATTACACCATGGTTAATGTCTGATGAAAACAGTAAACTTCCATTGAATACATTTTATGAAAATAATTTATATGAATTAGAAAATCCTATTGATAATCTATTGAATAAATCAAATATATTTAAATCTGTTTTAAATATAGCATGGAATTATGAGAATGCATTAAAACAACCTTATGGATGGACTGGTATTGGTTGTTTACCTAAATATACATTACAAAATATAAATGCATATTATAAAATATATAATCAATGTAATCAATCAAATATTAAAATTATAAAAAAAGAATTAACTTATCAACAAATGAAATATATTCGTTCATATCAATCTAATGAATGTTCTTGTAATATATCATGTTTCATGAATAGTTTTACACAATATAAACAACAACCAAGTTCTAAAATTCTACCAACAAAAGATGTATTTTTCAATTTAACATCATTTAAAGTATCAGATTATTTAATAAGAACTCAAAATCAATATATTAAACAAAGATATGGTGGTTTAAGTTATCATATACATAATTATTTATCATTACGTAAACTTTCAAAATATCTATTAAATTCAAATAATTTATTAATACATTTATTGTCTAATATGACTAGTATATATGATTTAAATGGTAATCTTACAATGAAAGATACTTTTTGGTCTGATCTAATTACATTTATCCGTTTATCCTTACCACCTATATCATATTTTCGTATATGGTTTAATAATAAAGGTTATGTATCTGGACCAGCATATTTAAATACATTACATAATTTACAATTACATATGTTATATAATAATCAAATTGTATTAAATAATCAAAATTATTCACCAAGTATTATATTTATTAATCATCCATTAAATATATTAGATAATCATAAAAATTTAGGTTTACCAACAGAATTATTATATGATTTAACATTATCATTATTTACATTACTTAGTTTATCTTTAATACCAGCTAGTTTTATATCATTTTTAATTAATGAAAATAATATCGATTCAAAACATTTACAATATGTATCTGGTTTAAAATCATTCATTTATTGGTTATGTAATTATTTATGGGATATTATAAATTATATAATATGTACTATACTATGTATTATTATATTTATATTTTATCAAAAATTAGCTTATATTCATATAAATGTTATATTATCATTTATATTATTATTATTATTTTATGGTATAGCTATTATACCAATGTTATATATAGCAACTTTTTTTATTTTATCACCAAGTACTTCTTTAGTAATATTATCCATATTTAATTTATTAATTGGTTCTATTACATGTATATGTACATTAATATTAGATGATTTTTCACAAAATAATATAACATTAAATATAATTAATAATATTATTAAAATTATATTTCATATATTTCCACAATATTGTTTAAGTCGTGGTTTATTTGATTTATCTAAAAGATATTATTATATTAAATTTATACAAAAATATAAAATCAATAAATCAATATTCAATCATAATCATTATAATAATATTAATCCATTTGATTGGAATATACTTGGTAGTAAATTAATTGCATTATCAATTGAAGCTTGTTTATTTTTTTTATTTATTATATTTAAAGAAAATCAATTTTTTATTCAATCTATTAATAATTATTTTTATATAAATTATCCTAAATTATTAAAAAAACATAATATGATATTTATGAAAAAACTTGATCGGATTAAATCTAATAATAATAATAATAATAATAATAATAATAATCGAAGATCAGATATCAATAAATCAATAAATGATAATGATGAAGATGAAGATAATAATTCTGAAGATGAAGATGTACATGCTGAAAGACTACGTATTATGAAGGTATGTGTTAATTTTTGTTTTCAGAAAGGGTTTTCTATGGAGATTTTACTTACTTACTTACTTACGCCTGTTACTCACAATAGAGCATAGACCACCGACCAGCATTCTCAAACCCACTCTGTCCTGGGCCATCTTTTCTAGTTCTATCCAATGTTTGTTCATTCTTCTCATGTCTGTCTCTATTTCTCGGCGTAATGTGTTCTTTGGCCTACCTCTTCTCCTTTGACCTTCAGGATTCTATGTGATGGCTTGTTTTGTGATACGATTGGGTGATTTCCTCAAAGTGTGCCCAATCCACTTGTGGAGATTTTTTTGTAATTTTTATATATAGTTGAAATCATGAGTCAATTGAAGCTAGACTACCATGGAAAATTTGGAAACAGTGAGTGGCGGAGTTTAAAACATGTCTGTTGTAGAGATATCAATCCACTGAAGACAATCGGTGAATGGATACTCAGATTTCGTGGATTGGTTGAAGTTAGACAATAACACCGTTGGATGTCGGCTCAGTGGCCTATCTTACTGATTGAGCCTGGGTTCGAATCTCGCGGGGTGAGACCGTGGATGAGCAATGATTAGGAGTCCCATAACAGGACGAAACGGCCATCCAGTGCTTCCAGGTTTTCCATAGTGGTCTAGCTTCAATTGACTCATGATATCAACTATGAAATTTTTTAAAAATTTAGATTTCAATAATATTTTTATAATCCATTTAATGATAACATGATGTAGTATTATTTGGTATAAAATCAGTGGTTGTGTCTACTTAAATTCAATGATATATAACAATGTTGATTCATTGGTTTGTATACATATTTTGTTAAAGTAAATATTATCTATATCAGATGTTAGGGGTGGCCAAACCAAAACGTGGCATCAGAGCTTGATGTCACTAACTTCTAGTCTAAGCCATGCTGGTAGATGCAGACTACTTGGTTTGCATCCGCCCGACTATCGTAACCAATGGTTGGAGACTCTAGGTGACATGGCTCAGAATCGATCACAATGGTCTAGGTGTATACACTCTTTATCTTACCTTAAATTTTGAGATTAAAATTGCTTCAAATCTTTCATTCTTTCTATATTATATCTTTATATACAACCTATCTTTTATATATTACCATCACTAAATTAACCACTTCTCTGAATCCAGTGTTCATCTTGTTGTGCTAAAGAGTTATAGCAACTTGGACCGATGCATATATGTGCCTGATCCTACGTTGTAGATAACTAACTGACTGATATATCAGATATTATGCAGTAAGAATGTTTATAGTTATTACTTCTGTATTGATATAGCGTATTATTTAATATAAGAACATAGACAATAGATTGATTGTGACGAAAATGAACATTCTGTGATGTATTCAATCAAATTTAGAAAATTTTATCCAGTAATAAACGTATTCTCCTAGTTATTTGATAAAGAAAAAAGTATATTTCTAGAACATTGTACAGTATAGCTACAATATCACGGACGAACCCATTTTTTTCACGATTGTGTATGTTAACAACTAGTTTGAATAACTTGTCATTCAACTAGAAATTCTAAAAAATTATTTCAATTGAATACATTGGATAATTGATTATGCTGTTCAATGTTCGTATCGTTTGTATAAAAGAACCATGTATATAACATTTATCAGATGAAAGATGAAAATTCGACTTAAATTCGTTCCCTAAGAAGGCTAACATGATGAAAAATTACATTTTACACTTCAAATTAAGCCATTTTATACTAATTATTGCGTCACAGGGTTTACTGCTTTATTCTCATATTTATATATTACTCATGAGTAACTAAAAACTAAATAAGAAACGTTTTCGCTCAATTCATATTATCAGATTATTTCATTTCTCCCAGTAACCAATTATAGTAACATTTGATTCTCTAAATCCTACCACTATGATCATTTTCATTTAATTGTCAGTTGAGTTAATACCCATCATACTGTCCAGTATGAAGTATCAGTTCAATTCAATGAATTTTTACTTGTAATTTGGACTGCTTCCTACAGAACCATCCAGAAAATCATTTTCTTTTTAAAAGTGGTGTAAATACAATTAACTAGTCTGGATTAACCTCTTATCATCGTTTTGAATAAAAATTTTTACATTTCGGTATTCTGTACATGATTTTACATTAAAAGATGACTAAATCTAATTGTTCATCATAATTTATACACTACGTACATGATTTCGTCGATAATAACCAGTAATTTCAGTTGGTATTGTTTGTTTGAATATTCCCACTGATTTTTAGGACTGCAATGAAACTGACGAGTCCCGAATAGGACGAAATGTACGTTTTGGAATTCACTGCTAGCCACTGTCTATCATTGCTTGTAAACAATAATTTCGTTTATTAATTTTCATGCTCTTTGGAAAGATAAAACAAAATTTATTTCCATCATTCTGCTTGAAATCAAACTAATGAAACTTGTGCGCCCATCAAGAGATGATAACTTTCTCGTATAGTATTGAAATATTTTTTGAATTTTATGGGCACATTTCGAACATCCATTATATTTTAGCAGTTATAGCTTCATGATGATTCGATGAAGATTGTTAGTGGGTTCTGAGTTCTGAATGAATTTGAGGCATTCTAAGTTCCTATAGCAAAACAGAAAATATGATGAAAATAAACTTGATTTAAATGAATAACTTCTGAATAAGTGCCAGTGTGATACACGCTACGTATGTGAACAGACTTAAGTAGAATGTAGAAGGAATCGGTAGTGTAATACTTACCAGCAGAAAATTGAAGGTGAGAGAAGAGGAAGAGAGATCGGAACGACAACAGAATTAGAAGAATAATGAAATATGTAAAGGACAACTCAAAGAAGATACACAAATGATGTATTCATTGCATGATTTTCATATTTTACAAAGCTACTGTTTGATTTTACATAAAACAATGAATTAGTTTTCCCAACCAATTCTTTGTTTACTATACCATCTTATTGTAACACTAGTAAGTAAGCTAGTAAGTAAGTAAGCTTATTCAAACCATTTAAACGCTGCCCTGGGAGTTGAAGGAAGAATGATGACTCCTCATGATGAAAGCCAAGGTTCTTCGGAAGGCACGAGTCCGATGCCCCTTCTAACAACCAGAGCAATAATTTTTATAGGTGCATGGAACATCCGGACAATATGGGAAACCGTGAGAGTCTTTCAAATTTCTGATTCATTCTCAATTTAAAATGATTTTGGTTGAATAAACAATGAAACCCTAACAACTTTCAACAATTGTTTAACTATTTCATTCACTTTATGAATACTGGAAATGAGTTTCATAATTTTCATCTGACTACAAATGATTTTCTACTTTGAATATGTTCTTATCACGTGATTTGCACATTTAAATATCTGCTTTCAATACAGTTAAGCACAAATATTTTCATTGAAACCATCAATTGTTTATGGAATACATACTATATCATCTGAGTATTGTTTTCTTTTTTCTTTAACTAGGCTGACAAAGAAGGTTATCTTAATTCTCTATGTTCAGTTGCAGTTATTAATTTAACTAAATTTTTTCCTCTCAAAAAGAAACCATCTGTCAATCGTTTAACTTTTGCAGTTCGTCCTGGAGAATGTTTTGGATTACTTGGAGTTAATGGAGCAGGTAAAACTACAACATTCAATATGATTACTGGTAAATTACATCCATCCATGGGAACTGTATATGTGAATGGATTTAATGTTGTTACACAAACTAAGAATGCACTTAAAAATCTAGGATATTGTCCACAATTTGATGCTGTTCATGATTTATTAACTGGTAGAGAAACACTTAGTTTATATGCTCGTTTACGTGGTTTTCCTGAAAATGAAATTTCTAAAACTGTCTCTGAATTATTACAAAATATGGGTTTATCACCATATGCAGATAGAATTACATCAGCATATTCCGGTGGTAATCGTAGAAAATTATCAACTGCAATTGCTATTATTGGTAAACCACAAGTTATATTACTTGATGAACCAACTAGTGGAATGGATCCAATTGGTAAACGTTTTATGTGGGATCAAATTATATTACTTATTAAAGAAGGTCGATCTATTATATTAACAACTCATAGTATGGAAGAATGTGAAGCATTATGTCAATATATTGGTATTATGATTAATGGTCAATTAAAATGTTTTGGTACTATACAACATTTAAAAAATCGTTTTGGTAATGGTTATCAAGTTGATATACGTTTAAATCACTTAGTAACTAATAATCAAATTAATCAATTAAAAAATGAATTTCATTTAAAATTTCCTAATTCAATATTAAATGAATTACAATCATATTATTATAAATATCAAATGGATAAAAATATTCAATTATCATTATTATTTACATTGTTAAATCAAATGCAAATGGATCATATAATTGAACATTATTCTGTAAGACAAACAACATTAGATCAAGTATTTGTAAATTTTTCACAAGATGAAATGAATCATATGGATAATGTAAACAATATTGAATTCATTCAATAGAAAATTTAATTGAAATACATTTTTCTTTTCTTTTTTGCTTGTTTGTTTGTTTGTTTGTTTGTTTGAATGGTGTTTGAAGTGAAAGGTAATGGATTTGAGTCTCAGAGTGAATATCAACTCTGAGATGAAGGTACAGCCGTCTGACGACGCCTAAATATGACGAAACGCTTGTCAAACTGGATTCCATTGTTAGCCACTATTCATCTTTGCTTATAATGCTTGTGAATTAAGGCTGTATCGAGGCAATACGCACAGTATGCACATATATGCCAATTAGAGACTGACTACTTGCAGTCCTAACAAATCGATGGGAAGATTCAAACAAACAATACTAAATGAATTCAAACTTCATCCCATTGCACAAGCAAGTGACTATCAGAAATCAGTAGCTGAGTGGATAACGTGATAGCGGTTGAAGCGAACGGTACTGGGTTGGAGTCTCATAGTGAACATCAACTCTCAGATGTAGGTATATCCAGCTGACTAGCCCCAAATAGGACGAAACTCGCGTCTAACTGGATCCTACTGTTAGCCACTATTCATCTTTGCTTATGAACTTTCTTTTTTTTTGTTTATCTTTGACAACTTTTTTCTTTCCTGAGAAACAATCAGGCAAGTTTCTTAAAGAAAAAAAATCAGTTTTCCTTTTTTTTTGTTGTTGTTATCAAATGGATTATTTTTCTATAGTTTTTGATTGTTGTTTACTTTAAATGTTGAATAAGTAATCACACAATATCTGTATTGCATAAGGTATGAGTATCAGATCTGTTTATGTTATATACTAGTATCTTCTAATATAGATTGAATCTTGAAATTAGAAAATAACTGAGAACAAATATAAATAGATAAATCAGGCAAACAGTTATATACGAAATATTTACCATTTAATACAAGTATATGATGTGTTGGCGAGAATGTCAATGATTGGTTGTCTCGATGAGTCAGACATTAGAGGGGATGACAGGTGTTATGTGTTATATATATATTTCCCTATCCTTATTATGTATTGACTTCTTGACTGTTTCTTGTTGATGGACACTTATTGATTGACTGTTCTTTGTGTCGGATTTTGGTGTGAAATATATTGACGTTATAGTCAGGCTAATCTTGTGTTCTTGATCTGAGTTCTGTTGAAGTCCTGTAGAATAGACACTGGGTGGGAATCTAGTGTAGATATTCGTCTAAGATAAATTAACGTCCCACATACGTGTAAGAAGTAAAAGGACTGTTATAACCAGAAACCCCTAAAGTTATAACCAGCATCCTCTCTCTCTTTTACGTTTATAACAATTGGCGACGGCATACATACGTATATAACAGTATAACGTTTGGTTTCATTATTATTATTATTATTCAAAATACTTGATTCAAGTGGAGTATTTAATCAGTGTAGCATCAGTCAGTCAGTCAGCTACAACGTGGGACCAGGCACATATATGCATCAGTCCAAGTTGCCATACCTCGTTAGCACAACAAGATCAACACCGGATTCATAGAAGTAGTTAATTTAGTGATGGTAATATATAAAAGATAGGTTGTATGTAAGGATATAGTATAGGAAAGAAGAAAGACATGAAGCAATTTTAATCTCAAGGTTTAAGGGAAGATAAAGAGTGTATACACCTAGGCCATTGTGATCGTTTCTGAGCCATGTCACCTAGAGTCTCTAACCATTGGTTTCGATAGTCACGCGGACCCCAACCAAGTAGTGTGCATCTGCCAACATAGTCTGATGATAAGTTTATGTAAATTTCTGAACTGTGTAGAAAAGTTACATACTTACGCCTGTTACCTCTCGTGGAGGAACATAGGCTGACCACCAGCATTCTCCATCCAACCCTGTGTTGGGCATTCCTTTCCAGTTCTTGGCAGTTTACTTTCATTCTTTTCATATCTGCTTGTATTTCCCGGCGTAATGTGTTCTTTGGCCTTCTTCCGGATTCCAAGTTAGGTGTTGAAAAATGATTTCAGTAATGATAATTTAGTGATGTACGGAAATTTGCCTTATGACTGAATCTTTAAAATAAAATTACATTCCTTGAATGTTCTGATGTCGAGAGCTTAATACTGCTATTTTTAATCGTGATGCATTGCTAGTAGGTTTCGAAAAATACTGTTTTATAACCTTGGCGGTGGTCGGTATTCGATATTATCCCTAAACTTCGTATATTGTTCGTCCTGATATGCGTTATTAAATAACGCTCCAACGGTTTATAAGTACGAAGTGTTGATTGCGTTTATTATTGAACCACGCACAGATTGCCAAAATTACAGGCACGTTAAGCAAGCATGAAAGAGTAGTGCTGAAAAGCGAGTGAGCGTGCGGATGATCGATTCAATGAACGAGTGTGCGAGTCAACAGGTCAGTGAACAGGATTAAAATGTACATACATATATACATATGGAAATGAATGAATCATCAAATCAGTTAAGCGACTAATAGTAAGGCTAGCAAAATGAATAAATTAGTATGTAGTAAGCAATGCTCACGCATACATATTCATACAAGTGCGACGATGATAAAAGTACAATAGTATAGATGGGTTGTTATTGTACGAATGCGTCCGTCCATCAAATAAGTTAAAAAATGGGCTTAACCAAATTAAAATATGAACAAATTCAATTGTACGTGAGTTGCTATACCTTATGTAGTTCATCAAAACATATTTGATAATATTTATTTAGTGATTATAGAAAATTATTAGTATAGGGTTGTAGAGATTGTTGATCTTCAATTGATATCATTAATGGATGAATGTTAGACCATCATTGAAAAACTTGGAAGGTTTGAACGGCCGTTTCGTCCTAGTATGACACTCTTCACCTGCGCACACCCACGATCCCTCATGCGGGACTCGAACCAAGAAACTCCGATCTCGCGTGCAAACACCTAGACCACTGAAACCCCATCCTTAGATGTTAATTTCTAACTTCAACGAGTACACAAAATTGAGCGACCGTCCATCATTGTCTTCAATGAGTAATTGCTTCAACAACAGAAAAATTAAAGCTATTAGTATCGATTCACTATAGACAATATGTGATAGGAAAATAGGGCTTGTAATCAATATGGTTGATGGCATCCTAAGTTAGTGGAATCATAACTTCAGCATTAATAATGATTGAACTAGTGTACATTTTAAACAAAAAGTAGCCGTTGCTAATGTAAGTTTATGTAACTTGACTAAATCAGTAGGATTTTAAGAGTATTGATTTCATGTGCTACACTAGTGAATATCATTATCGAACAAATAATTTCCATGGTAATAATGTTTCTTCAGCTGCTTGTATATTTATGGTAAACTTTATTAATATTAGATTAGTGTAACAACTTAATTAGTAAATCAGAGTTATGTTATATTTTCTTTAAGGTTTGGAATAAAATGTTGTCAATAAAGAACTATCTATAGATTTGTTACTGAAGACATTGGTGAATGTTTGCTCACTTTCGTGGATTGTTTGAAATCGGATATTAACACCGTTGGATGCCGGCCCAGTGGTCAAAAGGTTAAGTGTTCCGGCGTGAGACTGATAGGTCCTGGGTTCGAATCTCGTGAGGCGGGATCGTGGATGCGCACTGCTGAGGAGTCCCACGATAGGACTAAATAGCCGTCCAGTGCTTCCAGGTTTTCCGTGGTGGTCTAGTTTTAATTGACTCATGATCTCAACTATTTAAAGTTACTAAAATCTCCACAAAACCCCCTTCTGATAACTAGATATTTTGTCAAATTTATACATGTGGGATATTAGTTATGACCCTAATAGGTAAACAGTAATATGAATCAGTAGTGAAAATCAATTAACTTCATTAGAATAACTCAAAAGATATAACTGCATGAAGACTTAATAAGTAGTTATAGATTACTCGTAATTATTCGAACTTAATGTTACTCAAATGTAGTTGATTAAAACTTCTAATCTTTACTCTTTGATATTCAAACTTGTCGACACCGCGACAGGGTGATACTTGATAATCGTTGACAAATTCTACATTGAACTAGTTATTGAGTGATCGACAGATAGAAGTTAGCAGTCGAGTTAATCGATATCTGAATAATGTACATTCTTTTTTCTGAATACATATTGCCAGCAACCACGATTTCTCTGATTGAGCCTTTTATAACTTGTACAACACAAGGTTGTACACTTTTTATGTATTTGTAGATTTTTTGGATGGAAGTAAATCGTCGTTTCGGACAGCCAAAAGGCACATACGGAATCCTTCTTATTCATCCAATAGGGAAGCTACACGTCGAAACTCTAGAATGTTCCTCTAGCGGTGACTGGATTGAATGTCTTCTCTTTCTGGATTTCTTCAGGCTTCCTTGAGTTTGCTGACGAGCCATCCTTACAGTTTGTTTCTCACATCGAACACAGTTAAACTTCACTGTTCACAACTGAAGATTACATTTTGTTACATATTAAAGAAGATGGGAAAAAACAAAGACTAACAACGAATGAATCTATGATGGTCTAGCTATAGTTGACTCACGAATTCAACTATAAAATTACTAAAATCTCCACCAAACCCTTTCTGATTTCATTGTTGGCTATTCAGTCAAATGAATAATGAACATTGTTAGAGACGACAGTTTTGTTGGTGATTTAAGCAGTTACAAAATAAATGTCATAATCTATTAATTTAATGGGTTTCAAATTCTATGTCTATTGCATAATCTGATTGTTTTAATAACAAAGGACTTCTACCCGAAGTTTGTGCTGATGATGTCGTTCAGAAGGACGATGAAAGCTCCACGGCCAAACCATCCAGCTCAGAGAACAAACCCACGTCAAAAATAAAGGTTTACTTCATGTTTTAAAACATTTCCGGAGATAAAACTAACATATTAGTTAACGGAATACACCCATTGATACATTAAATAAGAAAAAATTGATTCAGCGAAGAGTTCTGTTTTCGTTGAATTCATTTTCAAATCTGTACAATAGTTAATATATATTTATATATACTTTTTTTTCCAGGATGATAATAATTACAAAAATAATGATAATAAACTTCTATTAGACATGGTACTAATGAGACACGACGAAAGGCGGTTGTTAATGTTGATAGATATGGAGGATCCACCTGGAGGAGTTGGAAAACCCTGATTCTAAACCAATAGTACACATGGACTACAGGATCCTGAGTGAACATATGACGTATGAACCTACTGTTGATCGCCGACTACCTTGGAACTGCATCTCCTGATGTTGTTCCACTGACTTGTGGATTAGACTTTTAGACCAAAGGCTCCGGGTATGGTTTCCTAATAAAACCACTTGCTTCAGTTTGGGCACGCTGACAGTATTATAGCTCACACATAAATCAAGTGAGTTGTGTAGCGCACATGTATTTCATGCCCCTTTGTACCAATATTTATGCGTTAAAATAAAAATAAAAACTTATTTAGCTATTTCATTCATTTCACGTTTTCATCAAACCTATAATGTTTAAATGTCTATTTTGTTTTTTCTATAGAACAATTTTGAAGAAATGTCTAAAATGAATCTTCCTCAATGTAAATAACACCTAATTCTTAACACAGTATTGAGCTTAAGTTTGATTCAAAGATTATATTTCAAAACATTTTATGTCAATTGGATTAAAAGCATTCAGCAGTGCCATGTGAAGACATTTTCTTTGTTACAAAACATTAAGTCAATTTACTGAAGTCATTCAAGGTGATTAAGCACAATAATTTGCTATACCTTTAGAAACAAAAGAGAGACAATCAGAAAGAAGAGCTTTTAGAATACAGAATATGTAAAGTTTCTAGTAGTTTAATCATCTAAATTATTAATAAACATGGCTATAATAAGAAAGGGTTTTGTGAAGATTTCAGTATTTTTCATAGTTGAAATGATGAGTTATTTGAAGTTAGACCACTTTTGAAAACCTGGAATCACTGGACGGCCGTTTCGTCCTATTGCGGGACTCCTCAGCAGTGCGCATCCACGACCTTGCCTCACTAGATTCGAACCCAGGATTTATAAATATTCAAAATTGTTGAGAATTAATTTAAAGAAGGAAATATGTAAATCATCTCTCGAGACGAGATCGTGAATGCGCAATGTAATTTTTATCAGTTAAATGATATACTGTTAGTTTGCTTCGAACTCTATATTATCCCTAAACGATCTGATACAATTCATAAAATGAATTACCTTTTCAAGTAGCTTCATATCTGTCAAACTGATGATAGACAAGTGACTTGATTAATCCTTTTATATAATTTCAATAATCTAAGAATATTCATTAACATTAGATAATTACTTATTTACGACTGTTACCCCTCCCGAAGGAGCATAAGCTGACCACCAGCATTCTTCATTCAATCCTGTCCTAAGTAATCCTTTCCAGTTATTTCCAATTTTTATTCATCTTTTTCATATCTGCTTCTATTTCCTGGCTTATTGTGTTCATTGAACTTCCTCTTAATCACTTAATCTACAATTGAACATTGAATAATGATTACCTTCAATTTGTTAATTATTTATTCGCTGAATAATAAATTAGTCGAAATCATGAGTTAATTGAAGCTAGACCACCAGGGAAAATCTAGAAGAAACTGGACTGCTGTTTCGTCCTATTATGGGACTCCTCGGCAGTGCACATCTACGATACTGCCTCACGAGATTCGAGTCCAGGACCTACCAGTCTCGCGCCAGAGCACTTAACCGATAGACCCATAATAGTCCTATATTAGGACGACACGATCCTCCAGTGCTTCCAAGTCTTCCATGGTGGTCTAGCTTCATGATTTTAACTATGAAAATACTGAAATCTCCTCAAAACCCATTCTGAATAAATTAATGACTGCTTATCAAAATGGTGAATATTCAGTCAATCTATCGATTTTATTTTATTTTAAAAAAAACAAAAAAATAATAATTTTTTAAAAATGATTCGATAAATCAATAATCAATTGAAACTTATTTCACAGTTAGTAGTTAATCAGTAATATAGAAGAAAAATTTTAAAAAAATGACTGATTCAACAAATAAAATATGTCGTTATTTTAATACTATAGAAGGTTGTTGGTATAAAGATTATTGTAAATTTCTTCATATACCAAATAAAAAACCACCATGTAAATTTTATGAGTAAGTTGGCTTTTTTTAAAAATTCACTTAGTATTGTTTGTTTTGTATCTTCCCATTGATGTTCAGGACTGCAACTAGTCAGTCTCTAATTGGCATCTGTGCATACTGTGCGTATTGCCTCGATACAGCCTTAATTCACAAGCATTATAAGCAAAGATGATTAGTGGCTAGTAGTGGAATCCAGTTTGACGCACCTTTCGTCCCATTTTTGTGCTCCGTCAGCCGTTTGCACCTGCATCTCAGAGTTAATGTTCATTCTGCAACTCCAACACCAGTACCTTTCGCTTCAACCGCCATTACGTTATCCACACGGCTATTGAGTCCTGATAGCCACTTGCTTGTGCAATGGGATGAAGTTTAAATTCACTTAATATTCCTTGTTCGAATCTTCTCATTAATATTTTAAGACTACAAGTAGTCAGTCTCTAATTGGCTTATGTGAATACTGTGCGTATTGCCTCGATATAACCTTATTAAATTAAATTTAATTAAAAATTATGTTTCAGTTTATCAACTGGATGTCGTTATGGTGAATTGTGTCATTTTTCACATGATAGAACATCTTTAAAATTAATTGGAAGTTATAATGTTGATTATTCTATGGAATTTATGAAGGGGGTAAGTTTTGAAGTGTTTTTAGAAAAACAATTTTTTGTTTTCTTTTATTATGATTTTATCTAATATGATGAAGTAGTTCAAAAGTAAAAGGGATGTATTTAATTTTAAATCATAGTTGATTATGAAGTGATAGACTAATACTAATCTAATCACTCTTAAGTTTTACAAAAGTAAACATGTTGACTTACCTTTTCTACATCATGATAGAGTTTTCTCAATCTAAACATATGCTAATATAGTGTCGTGAAAAAAATACAACACGGGTGGGGACGATCAAGTATACTTAAGCACAGAATACAGACTATCTCACTAAATTCTGATACCCAAACAGTAAATATTTAATTTATAAAATAACAATCAATGATCTCAATCTCCACTGTTCCTTCTGTAAATATCTATTCATATTCTCTGATTTCATTGTTCATGCATTTTCATACCGATTGCGCTTCATTCCTGTTGTTTCGTTATCGATTTTCTGCCAAAATACATTCTATGTCTGACCATCACTTTATTCTACTTATGTGGATATAAGTAGCCCTCATCACAATAGTAATATAATGTACTAGTTGACCTGATACTATTATTTACTACAGTTATTTTAAGTATAGAGAAATTTCCATAGTTGCCGTAATGAATTTTAGTGTTTGATTATTTCGAGACAATTCGTAGTACTTCAGATTGTATTAATCGAATGCCTCATATGGTTCATTCATCAAACAATTTATTGTTGTATTGTTCAAAACTTTGAGTGTACTACTTGGGTGCATATATTAATTTATTGTTTCAAATCTTGTACCGGAATCAATTTCATTGAGCAAAGATGAATAGTGGCTAGCAGTGGAATCCAAGACGCGTGTTTTGTCCAATTTAAGACTCTGCAGCTGGATAAGCTTGCATCCAAGTGTTGACATTCACTTGTAGTCCTAGACATTAATGGAAACTTTCAAATAAACAATAATAAATAATAGATGAAAGCGTGAGTGAATTGAAGCTAGACAACCGTGGAAAACCTCGAAGCACTGGATGGCCATTTCGTCCTATTGTGGGACTACTCAGAAGTGCGCATCCACGATCCCGCACTCACTAGATTCGAACCCAGGACCTACCTGTCTCGCGCCAGAGCACTTAACCGATAAACCACCGAGCCGGCATCCAAGGATGTTAATGTCTAACTTCGCCTGATCTACGATGCGCACTGCTGAGGAGTCCCATAATAGGACGAAACGGCCATCCAGTGCTTTCAGGTTTTCCATGCTAGTCTAGCTTCAATTGACTCACGCTTTCAACTATGAAAGTACTAATTCTCCACAAATCCCCTTCTAAAAGTAAGAATACTAAATTAATTTCATTACGATGGAAGGCTGCTCATGTTTCGTCTTTAAACGCATATTTAGACCAACTGACTTTGAGAATAAATGTATTCTTCCTAACTTTTATAAGCTAACTGGTTTAATTTTCAAAAAGCTGAATAGAGTTTCTACCAACAACCAATAACTTGAGTTTGATATCATTTTTTAGTATGCCCATTAATTAAAAACAGAGAACATACCTAAAGAGATTGTAGTGCCGCGATTCGTTAACCGTTTACTTAGATAACCGTTATAATTCTAAACTTAACGGCACGTAAAATTAGAAGACAAAGGATAGCAGCAACTACAGTTTATTGTCGAATGACTCAGGTTCGAAAGCTAACAACACCTGAGCGAATATGAACGAACGAGTGAACAGGCAAGCAAGCGAAGGAAACGAACGAGGAGCAAGCGAGCGAGCGAATAGCAAGCAATTACATAAGCAATTTATAGTCAAATTTAATAAGGGCACAGCAAAGCAAAACAAAGGCTGATAATAATATTTGTGTGCGTACATATATGGGGAGGAGTATGAGTCATCGAATAATATTTAAGCAGTCAACATTTCGGCTAGAGTGTCATGTGCTCTAGTGGTATAGCAGTGCAAAGAATATGCAAATTGTTACTATCCAAATGACGATGTCTGTTAATTAAGTTATAAAAAAGGGCTTAACCAAAATTGGCTATAATCGAAATTGATTGTAGGATGGTTGCTATAAAATGACCATTACGACAACAGCTTTTATCAAAGCTGTAGAATGGTATTTCTGATCATTTTAGTAGTCATTACTTGTCTGGTGTTTACGTGCAATAATACAAACTAATTTATTTTGTGACAACTGGGATACATTACAGATGATGATGGAATTTGTGTGTTATTATACCTGACAAGTACTCTTAGTCATTTCAACTAATGAACTTCTTTCAAATCGAAACTGTCTGATTGATATTTTGTTGTAGCATCAAAGCTTTGCTGAATATGTTACATCATATAGTGAATATAAATAATTATCAGTCGGGGTAATTTTTTTGGAATTATTAATCTCTAATACCTATCTAAGTCACATTAGATACATTTGGAATAAACATTAAGTCAGGTATTTTATTCTCCATAGTCAGTAATTATGTTCTTCATCTATTTCATGAAACTACGGATGTGATGTAAATTTGGGAATTGTAAATTTTCCAAAAGTATTGCACAAGCTTATAGTGTCTGGTACTATTTCAAGCCCATATGAGTTATTCTAGCTTCTGGACAGTCTGATTTACTCACTCTTCTCGAGTCATATTTTGACTTTATTAATTATTCGCTTACTAAGCTTGACTGTTTTTATATGAGAGTATGTGTGTGCATTGCTTATCATACTCATTATATGTTCGTAACTTATTTTTGCCTAACTATAATGTTGAATCACGCTTGATTAAATGAAGTTATCTCACTCACCTTCTCCGCATTGCTCCCACGCTTCTTATTCTGAATATCTGTCTGGATTAACGAATGCATGAAACAGATTCCTTCAATGCAACATGTATTTAGCTTCTGATTACCACGGTCACATCAGTGGAGGTTAGACTGGGTAATATATGTAGTTCAGTGTAAGATTTATGTTCATGGAATACTCATACATTCATCCAAAATGGAGTCATATTATGGGCTACAAAAAGCTCATGGATTGATTGAAGTTTGACATTAACACTGTTGTATGCCGGCTAAGAATTCTAGAGGTTAAGCGTTCACATGCAAGACCAAAGGTCCTTAGTTTGAGTCCAATGCGTGCAATCGTTGATACTCACTATGAAGCAGTCCTATATAAGAACGAAACGACTGTCCATTTCTTCCAGGTTTTCATTGATCGTCTAGCATTGATCGGTTCATGATCTCAACTAAAGTCATTTATGTCTTCTTTTTGAAAAAAATAAATTATGAATAAACTCTGTTTTATTCACAGTTGGTTTTAATAAGAACAAATTTACTCTTTATGAAGCTTGTAACTTCAGACAATATCGAGGCAGTCGACACAGAATGCACATATGCCAACAAATGACTAATCAATTGTAGTCCTAAATAATATTTTGTTTCAATGTTTATACTTGAAATCAATCGAAGTTGAACAAATTATAGAACCTAGACCATCATGCAAAACCTGAATGCACTGAACTGTTGTTTAGTCCTATTTTGGGACACCTCAGCAGTACACATCCACGATCCCGCCTCACGAGATTCGAACTCAAGACTTATTGGTCTCGCGCGCAAACGCTTAACCTCTAGACTACTGAACCGGCATCCAACAGTGTTAATGTCTAACTTCAGCTAATATTAAATTAGTCGTATCTTCATTTTTTTTTTAAATTATTCTACTGTTATTTTCCAATTATAGCTTCTAAAGAAGAATATGACATCAAAAGAATTAAATGGAACCAATAATAATAACAATATTATACAATCCATTTTAAATAATAAGCAAGAGAAAACAGTAGAAAATCCATCAGATTTAATCCAAGATAAAAATCTCACAAATTTAATAAGTAACCATGATCCATCTAATCAAAATGTTTCAATCAATTTACATAAAGATACCACAGAAGTCGAAGATCCAAGTTCATCCAATGCCAAGAATTTAATCCCTATAAACCAAACAAATTATTCTGAATCATCACCATGTCCTGTATCTAATGAAGATCATTCAGTAAATACTAATAGTACATTGAATGATTTATGTACAAATAAAGCTTCAATGAATCAACCTGTTACATCTACAGTTGTTGGACATTCAGAAGATTTATCTAATGAGAATGAGATAGCTTGTGGTATTACTTAAATTTCATGCTTTATAATATATTTTGTTCCACATAGTACTTATAAGCAGAAAAACTGTTTGAAGAATAAAAACAGAATATGCTTTAACATTTTAGAAATTAAACATTGACACCATCGGATGTCGGCTCAGTGGTCTAGAGGTTGAGTGCTCTGGCTCGAGACTACTAGGTCCTGAGTTCGAATTCCGTGAGGCGAGGTCTTTGGTACGCGCTGTTGAGGAGTCCCACAATAGGATGAAACGGCCATCCAGTGCTTCCAGGTTTTCCATGGTGGTCTAGTTTCAACTGACTCACGCTTTCAACGATGAAAAACTTAATTATAGTGTCCTACCTTCATAATTTGAATGTGTTCAAGCTAGATAAATAAGGTTATAAACAATGTGATCACTTCATGAATGCCAGTTTTATTAACATTAAAACAATCTACAATTTTTTAGTTTCATAGGAGTGTAATTGTTTAATATACTTGTCTTCTAATGAAGATGACATAGTGCTGTTTGGTGAAGATGCTGACAAAATGCAGAGTCTTCTGTTAGAACTGAGTAATAATGCCAGGATATTCGGGATGCGTTTCTCTCCATCTAAATGTAAATTGTTACTCCGCAACTGGTCTGTGTCAACACCTGAACTAAGGATAGGGAGTGAAGTTATCGAACGTGTCGACAACTTTCTGACGCCTAATACCTTATTTACTCAATTATTAGGTTCATATCAATCACTTGTTTATGAAACGATAAGTAATTTATTTATATGATTCTAGTAAATCCATCAAACTTTACTCTAGAAAGCTTAGATTTATTAATTTCTTTTCTAGGTTCCTGTAATCAAATTCTTGTAAAGCATCAAAATGAAAATTATTGCACTCTATTAAAAAATCATTACCTAGATCATTTTTTAGATAAAGGAGGAGATCATGTTAAATATGTGAATATAAGAGCTGAATTAGAACCTGGACAAATGTTTTGGTGTAAATCATGTATATTATTATTTAAAAAACCTTGGTCATTATTTCAACATATGGTTGATAAAGCTAAGGGAAAAAAAATTCAACACTTAGAAAAACAATCACATTTTGATTGGTTAGATAACATTGCTGGATTAATGGCAGGTAAATAATATTGTTTGTCTTTTAAATAAGCTTAAATTTCATTTTATTCTTTGCTTTTGATGTTAAGAAACTTATTTAATCCATTGCTATAGATTGACTGAACTGTACTGAAGAAATTCACTTAGTATTGTTTGTTTGAATCTTTCCATTGATGTTTTTATGAATGTAACTGGTCAGTCTCTAATTGGCATATGTTCATACTGTGCGTATTGCTTCGATAAAGCTTAAATTCACAAGCATTGTAAGCAAAGATGGATAGTGGCTTGCAGTGGAATCCAGTTTGACACGCGTTTCGTCCTATACGGGACTCGTCAGCTGAATATACCTGCATCTCAGAGTTGATGTTCACTCCGGGACTCAAACCCAGTATCTTTCGCTTCAAACGCAATCGCGTTATTCACTCGGCAACTGATTCCTGATAACCGCTTGCTTGTGCAATGGAGTGAAGTTGAAATTTACTTAGTATTGTTTGTTTGAATCTTTCCATTGATGTTTTTATGAATGTAACTGGTCAGTCTCTAATTGGCATATGTGCATACTGTGCGTATTGCTTCGATATAGCCTTATTTCAAAGCGGTTAGGACGAAACGCGCTTTGTCCGGGATTCCATTGCTAGTCACTATCCATCTGTACTGAAGAAATTTTACCGCTGAAATATCAGCATTTTTTATGTATCCGTCGCCATGATTTCATATAATTCAATGAGATGTGATATATAAATCTGGAATTCATGCTTAATTTGATTAAGATTTCATTATTTAGGTTACATTGTTATCATTCAATTTCATACGGAATTTATTACTTCGTCGAAGAATGGAGATTTAGACAAAACTAAATAATGATGTAACTTCTTTTTGTTTTCTAACCCATTTGTCTGATTTCTTCTGAAAGTACCAAGCTACTGTTATTTAGAAACTGTATTGTTAAGTCTCCAGCGTATATAATGCCCCCAAATGCCCTGGTACGGTCGAGAGTGGGAACAGTCCGTTATCCCTCTCCAAATGCTCTCACATCACCATGCGTATATAGCCTCTGACAGTGAAGTCCTACTCACTGCCTTCTCGTGGCGGGGGTGTTGCTCACGAAAGTGAGAGGACGAAAAGCTAATGTCCGGCGCTTTAACCAGGTTGGTGGATGTGGAGGATCCACCTAGGGGAGTTGGAAAACCTCCATTCCAAACCAATGGTGCACATGGGCTGGTTCCAGTATCCTGAGGGAACAAATGATGTATGAATCAATCGCAGGCCACCGGCTACCATGGGACTGCATTTCCTCACGATGCTCCACTGCCTTTAGGATCAGACCCTTAGGTCAAAGGCTCCTTGTGTGGCTCCCTAAGAAAACCATATGCTTCAGTTTGGGCACCTGGGCAGTATCGCAGCCCTCAAGCAAATCGAATGTGATTTGTGTGGCGCATATATATCTGGTGCTTCCTTGTATCAATATTTATGTGTTTAAATAATAATAATAATATATTTATACGTATCATAACTAGAGAATAAATTAACTCAAATCTAAAAAGTGTAAATGAATAAAGCAAAAATGATTTAATACAGTTAATGAAAAACGAGGTCTGACTAAGTCAATATCATATCACTCCGATCAAGATGACTTCTATGAAACATGTTTGTGCATTTGCGTGTTTCTTAATGGGTGAAAAATATGACATTTGTAATAAGAATGGGTAGAACTGGATTTGTATGTATGCTAACAGTATTAGATATGAATAGAGTCAGTTATGGCCTCTTAGATACAACAAAAGAACTCCAAAGAGTCTGTTGTTATTACTATAACATAATGCAATTTAAATAACGCCCTTCGAAATTTTTTAGCTCGTATAAAGGATAAGATCGCCTTTATGTCAACACAGAACGGCGTTTACAAATAAAGGTATTTCAATTGATTGATACCTTCGGCATTAGAGAGTCATCTCATGAAATCTCAACTGGGACCAAAGAAAATCTTAGCTACACAAAAGTTACCTAATAATCTTGTAGAACTTTAGAAACTCCTATTTGAATCATTTGCACTGCAATAAAATGTGTTTTAAGTACATGATATTTTATAATGAACACAGAACTAAACTCTTCAGTTTGTTTGAATTTTCTATATTTTAGGTTATGATCTTGGTTTATTCAATCCAAGAAAACTGAAAGTCGATTTACGCAACTTATTAACCGATCAACATACTATCGATGAAGAACTAGAGACAGAAGCTGCAACAACAATAGGAATTATGCAGTGGATTAACCCATTTATCAACCCATGGCGTTTACAACAATTTGAATTGATGCGAAAAATCAAACAATTTAATAGACAATTGCTTCGTAAAGTTAATCCAAGTTTAAAAACTGGATATACCGGATACAGTAAGAGCACTGCACTACCACCTGCTCATGTACCTTTATCAACTACATCATGTCAGACAAACGAGACGTACTTTGACACCCTTGATTCATTAACATCTACTACTACATCAACGCCAACTGTAGACGATTTCGGTTTATGTTTGAAGAACAGTTTGCCTCCAGAAACTTTCAATCAAGGCTGCCCCTCAGAATCTACCTCTTCGGTATCTATTGAGTTTGATACTTGCGTTGTATCGAATGAAGAAAATAATAAAGAAGAATCAGATGAGTGGGACAAACCAAGTAACTACCAGCTTTTTCATATCGAAGACAAAGAACACCCACTTTGCAAACCACTTGTAGAGAAGCTGATGGAAACGGAAATGTTGAGAACTGGAGCTTCTGGAGATGTCACAACAACAACATCTGATATAAACTCAAAGATCACACCAGATATTAAAAACGAACTGGACAGAATCGTTGAAATCATAGATTCAAATAACACAAATAGAGCTTATATAATGTCACTTTTAAATTGTAGTAATGCCAGTGGGTATCACAGAAAACAGTCAAAATTTGTACCCATTTGTTCCAATGATTCTAGTATTTGTAAAAGTAAAATATCTAATATCTGTACTACAATGAATTCAAAACATTTGAAAGAACCATTCAGATATCAACTTTTTGGACGAAACTCCAAAGCGTTTACTTTCAATCATACTGCTATTTATAATATTCAACGTAATCTAAATCGTATATACCATAAAATCAATCAAACCCCATACTATGGAATCAACAATTTTGATCTTTTAAATTTTTTTTCAACAAATCTAGACTTCAATTTTAATCTCATTGATGAAAACATAGAAGAATTACTTTCACAATGGAAAAAATCCCTGATCTAATGAACCATCTCATAGAAATATCATTCTGAGAGGAGATGTGGATCATCACCATAAAATGTGTAAAGTTGTCCATTTGTATAGTATGTTATGTAGCTTGCATTAATGTTGATATAAATCTTGGTTTCAGTTTTATAGTTTACTATAATTAGCTTATATAACCTAGGGATTGGTTATTGTTGTTATGAATAAATTACATAATTATATTTTTTCATTTACATTGTTTGAATTATATAAGACCTTGGAAACAAAAAAAAGAGAAATATTGTTCAACTTTTGTTAGTATTTAATGTTGATTCAAGGAAAAAAAAACACAAAAATAAATACCATCTAAATACATTTGAGTTTTGAGTATCGAAGACTTAATAACCATTTCATTCTTGATTCAGTTGTGAACGAAACGCTGTCTCTATCGTTTCATTGGAAAACTATTTTTCATTATTTTTTTCCTCAAATCATTGTGTTACTTCACTTAGTATTGTTTGTTTGAATCTTCTCATTAATGTTTAGGATTGCAACTGATCAGTCTCTAATTGGCATATACACATACTGTGCGTATTGCTTCGATGTAGCCTTAATTCACAAGCATTGTAAACAAAGATGGCTATATCGAGGCAATACTCACAGTATGTGCATATGCTAATTAGAGACTGATCAATTGCAGTCTTAAATATCAATGGGAAGATTCAAACAAACAATATTAAGTGAATTTAAACTTCATCCCATTGCACAAGCAATTGGCTATCAGGACTCAGTAGGTGAGTGGATAACGCGATAGCGTTTGAAGCGAAAGATACTGGGTTTGAGTCTCAAAGTGAACATCAACTGAGATGTAGGTACATCCAGCTGACAAGTCCCAAAAATAGCACGACACGCGCTTCCTGGATTCCACTGCTAGTCACTATCCATCTTTGCTTATAATTCTGTGACTGTTTGATTTTTTTGTTCGTTAGATAAGATATCGAAAAAAATTTTCTTCCCTGAATTCTCTTTTTTCTCATTCAATGACATTATGAGTTATTTTAATTATCTGAAGAGCTGCAAGGATCATGCGACAGTAAAGGAGCTCAGTGGGTTTCTTAGTTTTTCTGTCAAGCTTGCCATAGCGAATACCTAAATAAATTTACTTAATTGAAGATTGATTTATTCAACTCAATATGGATGATCTATACTGATTGTTATTATGATAAACGAATTTCTCTATGATTTATATGCGTATATTATCCGTGTTTCAGAATGTAATTTTCAAATAATATCAATTATCAGTATGGAAATATGTGGAGATTCTTATATCTTCATAGTATAAATCGTCAGTCAATCTAAGCTAGACTACCATGGAAAACCTAGAAGAAATGGACATCCGTTTCTTCCTTGTACATGACTCTTCATTAGTGCGCATTCACGATCCTTCACATTGGACTCGAACTTAGGACCTTCGGAATCGTGCATGAACTAGTTTCATGGTGTAGCTGTTGGAGTTCAAGTGAAAAGTGATGAACAGTGGAGTCCGATTCATGTTGGATGTGAGACAGTTATTCACACCAGACAACAGATGATGGATTGTGCAATATCATGGGTCGATTGAAGTTAGACATTAATAGTGTTGGATACCGGCTCAGAGTTCTAGAGGTTAAGTGTTCACGCACAAACTGAAGGTCTAAAGTTCGAATCCCAAGTGCGGAACTGTGCATGCGCACTGTCGAAGAGTCACGTACTAGTAGGAAACGGCCGTTCATTGCTCCTATGTTTTCAATGGTAGTCTAGCTTAGACTGACTCGCGATTTCTACTGTAATATCGATTAATTATCCTTGAAAGGAGGACTTTAGGTTGATGTTCTGAATAGAAAGAAGCCATTTATGAATATTCGTATTCAGCATGTTAAGGTGAATAAAGACTCTGGAAAAAAATCCTGCATTTTTGTTGAAGTGACTTTTCAGATTTTGTGTTTACTATCAAAATGTTTTATTTTTCATATATGACAACTTCAAAATTATGGAGAAATACATTAAAGCGTTTGAAGTGACTTGTATAGACTTCTTGTTTCGCCTATGTTATTAATCCCTTTGAAAATAAAATAATCGGCACTAATAGTACTGAATGATCATGGTTCTACTTCATCAATTAACTGAAAACATAATCGTTCAACTTCGAATGCTAATCCAGTGGTTTAATGATATAAGCACTCAAAGAATTCAAAATCTTCGTTTTGATTTTTTACAAATCCGTAACATCCCACTACTGATGAGAAGCACATGGGAACTTGTTAGAGGATAGTAAGGTATAGCACAGGTTGTATTGTTATATCCCGAGGAAAATTATGAATGGTGACTTTTGAAAACTATTTATGGACCAATATGATGCGTATATTTCCCATTGTATAAATGTTAATTAACTTAAAATTCAACTCAGTGGCCGAGTGGATAACGCGATGGCGTTTGAAGCGAGGGTACTGGGTTCGAATCCCAGAGGAACATCAACTCTGAGATGCAGGTACATCCAGCTGACGAGTCCCGAATAGGACGAAACGCTTGTCAAACTGGATTCCACTGCTAGCCACTATCCATCTCTGTTAATTAACTTAGCTATTCATATTCGTGTCCCTCTTATTATAAGCTATATTTCGACCTATAGACCATCATTAAACGATTTACCATTCTTGAGTTATCTCTAGTTCATTAATTAATGTTCCCCCTATTCGCAGTCATATTTGACTGAATCTTGTACAAACGTTATTTTCTATTTTATTGCACGATGTGATCAGTTTGATTGGTATATAAACCCAGTATGTTTGAGAATAATGATTCATATTGCAGAGGCTGAGTGAGATTGGTGTTCTGGACTAAACTGGTTGGGCTAGGCAGATAGCTGGACCGACAAGTGCTCTAGACTCCTCACACGGTTTCCGTGTGTCATTGGGTCGATCGATAAATTCACTGTATTCTAATTGGCGAGTACAAGATAATAACCATCGCCGGCGCACGATATAACAATTGACGAACCAAAGTCAGCCTGTGATTGGTCGATGATCAGGTAATTGTTTCGTGCAATCAGCATTTACAATCGTCGTTTTTGTCCTTCAGCGACATTGGTCATTAGTTATACAGTATCTTTCCTTCTCGTGCTGATTTACACGAAAGCAGGAAATGGCTCTAACTTTCGATCAATTGCAATTGCTATTCCAGCGACAAGAGCAGCATTTAAAAAAGATTCAGTTGGAATTTTTTCTCCTTCTTAAATTAGAATCGTTTATATTGAACACAAAGTTAGTGTTTTCATATAATGAGTCACTCAAAAACGCTTTGTGCACCATACACAAGGTAGTATGGTAGTCGAGTGAAATATACTTCGATAATTCCTCGTTCAAACCCAATATTGGCCTTTCGGTCGTCGTAAATACAATTCTTAAGTGGCACGTTATTACAGAATGCACTATACGTTTTTGACTGATTGGTAACTATTGTATTGAATATAATTAATTTCATTTGTTTTGCTGAAGTTGTAAAATGTTTAATTAGATATTTGGTCTTGGACATGTGTGGTTCTTTTTGATTTTTTATGGTGTATTGGTAGTTTTGCTTCTATAACTTAAAAATTGATGGTTTTTTACGTAGTTGCTATGATAATTATCAGGGTCCGTTGCTCATTAGGACCAAAAACTCAGCGATTAAACGTAAGTTTTGTAGTAGGAAGGCTAACTGGAGCTATGATGCAGCGGCACCCATACAGTGCTACGAGTCTTTGCGAAGTCACCTCCACTCGTGATTCTGGCACATTTGCACACAGTCTTAAAAAATACATAACAGGAACTAATAAAAAAGCCCAAGACTTCCATTGGATACATCTGTATCAATCCCAATCAGTATATCCAAATGGTCAAACACAGGCTCAATCAAACACGCAACCATGTGAGCCAGAACTCGAGCTGCTGCCAATACCGTAGTGTTTGTTAACATTGGAGAACAGTGAGTGAGCTATGAGAAGGAAAATAACAATAACACATCTCCCAAAATCCTAAAAACGGAGGACGTAAACGTCGGGCAAAACTTTGATTTCATTCGGTGTTATCGTTTCGAGAAATAGCTTATTAAAAAGTGGGTGGCACTTAATTAAGAACACTGGGACAAATGCTGTACAATGCCGTAAGACTAACACTTCAATCAAGGTGTGTCGCCTGTACATGGACCAGAATGCAGTTATAGTTCCAGTCAGAAGTTTCCACAAGACATCTTACTGATATCCTAGAGGCCAGCGATTAAGCGATCCTCCCGAATTTGAGTTAGTCACGACAAACGGCGTGCCATTAGAGATGCATCTAGATCAGTAAATACACAAAGGCCAACGTCGTGGTTTAAGGAGCGACTGAGCTAATAGGTGGTAGTCGGGATGAGGTGAAAGAACACAATATACGACAAGGGCTTCAAATATCATTCAGTGGAGGCCTTTGCATAACGACGATAATCACTATGTCCAGACAACTCCTTTTTACAGTCCGCGTCTGACGGATGTGAAACTCAGATAACGATAGAACCTAACGGATTCTTTTCAGGTCTAATACAGCCTGCAGATCACCAACACAGATGACCGGTGTCGAGTGACTGAGGGACTCCCTGAGTTAGACGGGAATAGAGTGTTCCACCTGCTAACGTCGAAGTCACACCTAACGATGGGTACATAACGTGGATTACCCTTTTGTCGTACCCAAATACTGTGACAGCTCTGATGACCGTACAACACAAACGACGCTATTACAGAAGTATTTTGGCAAGATTAGTTAAAAAGAAAAAGGCGCGACCAGTGTTGCAAGGGTCTGTCCATGCTGTGCAGCTAACTGATGAGCACCATTTGTCATTGGCCGGAACGGGGATCAGTGAACTGTTCGACACTCAGTGGCCAACTGCCGGATGATTTGCCTACGGTTTGGTGACATTTCATCGCCCCAACAAGGTCAAAGAAATCTCTCCTATCACATTCAATATGCAAAGACATCTGCAAAACGCTCCTTAACTCTAGTGTCAGTTGAAGGTCAGGGAGGTATCTAACCAGATACCGAGCCTGTATTAAAGTGACTGAAGTCTCTACGCCCATGAATGTCGCCAGAATGTGAATAAATTCGACCTATAATCCTGAAGCAGTGAGCAAAATCTATCAGCAGAGTGGTGTGTGACTTTTTCAAGGGGAGATATGACAAACCCGTACTCATCCGTAGATTACCACTTCTCTCTTCAACTAGCTGTGTCTGATGCATGTCTCATCAACGATCATGATTGAAAGTACCGCATAATTAGTAACTACGTCCTATTCT